AGAACTGCAGGGAAATACCCAAGAGCTAGTGAATCTGAAGACCTACTGCTGGAAAACAAAACATGCTGAACTGGGGGGGATGATTGTGAAACAGTTTTACAGGAAGACAAACTCCATGTGCTTGCACACTAGGTTACAGACAGACAGGCAATGCTTGAACAAGCCAAAACAGAGTATAATTTGTGGATCCAAAAAGTAAAAGGAGCTCAGAATTTTCTCTGAGGTTTGTATCACTGATGGCTGTAGTGCACAGCATGTGCAGGAAGGTTCTTCTCTCCCTTGGTGTGCTGTTTTCAGCTGAGATCACTGTCTGGTGTGTGGGGCTCACCTTAGATAAACTCAGCTGCAGAAAACTCCCTGAGCCAGCTCCAGTAAGGTGCTGCTAGCAATCTGTAGCAGCAGCCCTGAACAGGATGCTTGCTTTTAAAAAAAGTACTTTGATAAAATATAAAATATAAATCTAAACTCAGACTTTAACTCCCATCATCATGGGCAGAACAGTTTATTACTCTTTCTTACAAGAAAAATGGAGGTGTGGAGTCTCAATTCATGCAAAGGAAAATGGGATCACTGAAAATTATTTAAGGGATTTTTTTAGATTTACCCAGGGAAAAAAAGCCTTCTGTCCTGCCAGAAGCTAGATGATGTACACCAATGACTACAAGTAAATTTAGAATAAAAGCTAAATCTCAGCTGTACCAAATGGTACCAAACAATTTATACACCTCCAGATGAAATTGGCAATATGGGTGTTAAAACTGACTCCATCCTACCACATCTTCCCAAAGTCAGGCTTCCAGATGACAGAAATTTACAAAATGTAGAGCCTCCAGAGAAATGGAAAACGCCTTATTGCAGCCTCCTCTGCCCTGGGTGGCTCTGAGAGTTACAAGGACTTCAGGACAAACTCAGCAGACCTAAAAGTTTCTGGATGTAGAGAGTCTCCAGTGCCTATGAGCCATATGCTGATTTACCACTGCCAGCCTAATCTCAGCTGTGCCTCAGCTTCAGCACCCACAGAAAGCTGCTGCTGACCTAAATTCTAAGTAGAGTGTTTGACTGAGACTTTTCCTTAATTTTCTAAAAAAAAATGCTGGAGGTTTTTCTGATAAATGCACTTAAATTTATGACATCTTAGACTTGAACAATCCTGTTTCGTTGTAAATTTGCACCTGTTTTTTGTTGTGTTTTTTTTTTCTAGTGGGACCACAAATTACTTCTAAGAATTTCATTTGAGTACAAAAGGAAAGCTATACTGTGTATTAGACGTGGAGAATCTCCCCTTCCTCCTACCCCCAAAAAACCCCACCGCTCAAACAACCAAAAAAAGGAAATTTGTACAGCTGTATCTTCTATTTGGAATATTAAAACTAGCTGAAACTATGGCTGTTTCTGAGAAAAAAAAGTCATCTTCTTTTTTGACAGTTTTTGTGGACTTGTTTTGATCCAAACCTTCATAATATTTGAATGTTTTTAAAGAAAAACTAAAGACATTCACATCAGTGTTCAATGCACTCTTTTGTGGCAGAGAATGTATAAAGATGGGTCTTATTCCCCCACTTTTTTATTCAAAACCCTTTTGCCTTTAGAGTAGGTATAAATAAATTCCTTTTAATTTTTTTTTTTTTTTAATTAAAAAGTCTGAGACTCCTTGAAGGTGTCTCTCAGACAAAACCTTACTGTTGCTTGCTGGAACCATCCAGACAAAACTGAAAGAAGGCTGTTTAAAGCATATGTAAACTTTCACTGGCCCTGCTTCACCTGCACTTTAACAATAACCAACTGTCTTGAGGTCAGGAGAGCTGCTTTGATGGTGGATTCTCTTCTACAGTTTTAGCTTTTAAAAACCTCCTATGCAGCATCTCATTTGACCAATGTGAAGATCTGTATCAGCCTTGCACTTTCAAAACAGGAAGATAAGCAAGAAGCAGAATTGTCCCATCCTGCTGTAAGAGCAGCCAGGGAGGATTGATTTTGACGGATTTCTCAGATGAAAATAGTGCCCAAAAGCAACAAACACTATCCCTGAGAACCATTTATGGATAGTATGGTTCTGACCAGAGTGGGGTAGAAAAGAGACCAGAGAGAGAAAAAGGGAGATGGAGAGAGTAACTGCTTTTATCTGCTAGGGCTGCTGCCACAGCTCCATTTCCCAGGCATTTTTTCCTGGGCACCTGGCACATGTTAGGGCTTTCAGCATGTCCCTATAGTAATTTTTCACCCCATGTCTAACATATGTTAAGGCATAAATAAAAATCCAATCAGTCCCTCTCAGAAATGTTTTTGAAGTCTTGCCTTTACTAGCCTTACCCCAAAGGGTGAGAACGAGAAGGCAAAAAGTGCAGTCTCTGTGCTGTACAAAAACCATCTTGGCTAAATTTGCCTCTCCTCGTTGCCACAGCTGCCTGCCCTCAGCATGGGGCATGCCACATGCAGCAGGGCATAGCAATAGTGAGAAATAAGCTACCAGGGGAAAATCCAAAATCGGTTTGAAAATGAGGAGGTGGATGTAGAGGATGACTTGGAGGTGGGGGAGGTTCACAGGAAAAGGCTCTTTTTTCCTACTCAGAGTTGTGAAACATTTGAGTGCCAGAATCCTGGGGGTGTTGAAGGTACTTTCCCAGCCGTAGTACAGAAATTTCACTCTCCCTTTACATCCTTTCCCAGAAATTGTGTTCTCCCTCCATCCTGAAATCCCCAGAGCTCCATGCCCAAAAAACCTTAGCACAGTTCTTTCCACCCTTAAGGAACAGGAGTTTTGTCACCCACTCCTGTGTGCACAGCTGGAACAGCACCCAAGGAACTGCTCTTTTCCTGCCACCCTTTGTCCTTTTCCCCTCCACAGAGAAGAAGTAATCAGAACATGTGGTTACCAAAAGGGCTGGTATTTTACTAATCAGAGCTCTTGCAGACACTCAGAGGCATCAGACCCTTGAACTGTTTAATAAAGATTAAGAAATAATTATTGTCTGATGTCTTAATATAGCTTAAAATAAACCCACGAACTGCTGACTTACAAAATACCTGGAGTCTTTGTATGCAGAGAACACAGTTGTCAGAGGATTTATTTCCTTCATCTACAGAACGAATAATTAGGACCAGCCCTGACTGGAATATGTGCTAGAGACATTTAGCAATTGTCTCTGAAAAATATTCCAGGCAACATGCTTCAAACTAATTAGTACAGAGGCTGTTGATGTTGACGAGGGACACAGAAAAACCATCCCTATCATGTGAAAAACTGCAAAAGTGCAGTTTTGGAGATGGTGCTGTGGAAAGGGTTTCACATCCACAAAGGTAGACATGACAGCTGCACATCCTTTCTCGGCTTTAATCAAATATTCCTTTTCAGAACTTCAAGAAAATACAGATAAAACAAACAGCCTGCATTGCTTCATGAAAATGTTACATTCCCAGAAACCATACAGAGCCCCCCTTAAACATTCCTGCTGCTTTAGACAGCATTTCCCCTGGTCTGGATCCCGTTTATTTGAAACTCTTCAAGACAAAAGAATAACAAAAGCCGACCACAGGGTCTGCCCTCCATGGCATTTTTAGGAGAGATCCTCATTCTTCTTAGGCACCAAGGCCCAGTTTTCCTGTCAGCAGCCAGGAGCAAGGGCTGGATCCTGCTGGGTGCTGCACTCTCCCAGTGCTGTTGGTGCAGGAATGGGCAGCAGGGTCTTACTGGGGGGATCTTCAGCTGAGCCAAGCTGGGGGGAAAGCTGAGCTCAGCACTAACTCCCAGAGCATCTGTGGAGCCTGTGGGAGGCCAGCAGAGCAGACGAGGTCGCCCAGCATTCACCTCAGCCTGCCTTGGAGTTTGCGAGCAGAAGAAATGGTCACAGAACTCAGCACGGCCGAATACTTCTCTCCCACTAACAGCTGGATTTACACTGGATCCTCAGTACGGAATCAGGCTTATTTTGGAAGCTTATTTTAAAGTCTGACGTGTTTTCAGCAATACTATTTCTAGTTACAATTTAGAGATGGCGTTTTCTTTCATTCTGATTAATCTGTTAAATAAATATGCAAATATATCAAGTGCTCTATATAAAAATACATACACACAACACACAACCCCTCATAATAAAAGCAAGATTAATAAAAATATGTACTGTCTTACACATATGAAATGGCCTTCTAGTTTTGAAACTATAATGAAACAATTACACATAGGTCACAGGACATAATCTAAAAAGGATCAGCATATATAAAATAATGGCATTGCCTCTTGAGCATCTCCCATTTAAAAATATACAAAGAACCCAACCAGTGTTGTCTGTGCTTTTATAGCTACTGACTATTTGATAAATTACGAAGCAGTTCATGGATTTCTTCATTCAACATCTGAAGATGAATAACATGACACAGATTTTTTTGTTTCTTTAAAAGAGAAATTTAGCCTCCAAGACAATGAAACATGTCCTTCTCATTTAGACATATATTCAGCTAGGGTTTAAAGAGAGGAATAATTCTTACTCTGGATCTTCATACTTAGTGGAATGAGTGCCTAACTCCACTTTAAACACAGCCTGCAACAAATCATTTTGATTTCTAATGACAAATAGAGAAGAGTGCTTAAAAACGTTAAACAAAAATCACTGCGCTGTTCACAGATGAAATATCTGACGTACATAAAGCCAGAAAACATCCTGTGTGCATTTTAAAACATCACCTTGCCTTGGGACTTTTTGCCCAGGTGTAAATTGCCCTGAGGACATCTGCCAGCAGAGACCAGGGCACTTGAGCATTTCCATGAAGCACATGGGAAACTGCTGGAGGGCTGTGACTCAGAAATATAATCAACAGTCTTGTGCTTTATGTTCCAGTAAGGATCAGTGCTGGCTGAAGTCAGTATTTAGCCAGCTGAATATTCATCCTCCAAACTGCTTCAGATGGAGAACATAAAATACATAATTTAGCAGAACAGTGTCAAAGACAGGGGCTATGGTCAGTGAACAGAAATGCTGGATTACCCTGCTACAGACCAGACACACAGACCAACCTTTTTCCTTCCATTGCCTGGGGGGAGTCCAATCAGAAGTTACAATTCTCCCTCCATTCCAATAAGCTTTCTTAAAAATAGCACAGACCACTGGTAGTAAATAATATTTTTCCTGACAATTCATATCAATATAATGCACAGCATCATAGCTTAGTACAAATACTTTACATAACAGACACAAAAGGACATAACAAAAGCATGTAACAATGCAGCTCAGCTACTCTACTATGTTACATGGCTGGGAAGAGTTCCCTATCATTTGCTTTGATCTTTTCTGTAGAAATTGAACTTCTGGTACCAAAAAGCAAGCAATGTTTCTTTTTGGTGTTTTTAAAAAGCAGACGGAAAACTATGTAGATGAAATAGAATTCAGAGGAAATGAGCAAGATCATAGAAAAGCAACTTTTAAAATATCAGCAATCTCGTATAATATAATAGGGGGAAAATTTTAATAGGCTCAGCATCTCCTTAGTAAAGTGGAGCAGAATATAGAGACCTATTTTCAGGAACAAAATACTGGCAGCTTCCCTAGTGATCTCAATTGCTTGATTTGTGCATATGTGATAGAGCTGGGGTCATTTTGTTTTATCTGTGATCTAAACTAACAGGCTCATTAAAAACATGCACAAACTTGGATCAGTGAATGGGGCGGGGGGAGAAGAGCAATGAACATCTCAAAAACTGAAGGATAATTGTACAGGTTGTTGGATAATAAAGAACAGAAGTTTATTACGTTTCAGCTCATGTTTTCATGCCTTTATTACCCCTCCTGAGAAGACTTGGTATATGTCCATAGATATTTAAAAATAGAGATAAATAAATTTTGACCTTCCGGGTTTCCCTCGTTGCAGACAAAGCCACACTTAATTATAATGTGTCACTTCTTGTTTATTCTGGCAGATTCTGAATGTACCCACTGCTATTCCTGGCTGGAAGGCATTTCTGAAGGATTCTGATGTTGCAGACATTGTAGAAGATGCCTTTTGGGTTTAAACTTGATTTTTTTTTTTACTCTTGACATTTTTCCTCACTTACTTCTGTACCATGGCATGTTTAATACTTTAAATATCAGTAAGATGGAGTGACTGAATACTTCTTTAGCTCCACACAGTGAAGACCTTCCATCTGGGGAGTAATGATGTAAATTTGTATGCCTTCTAACATCCAGGACACAGTGAGAGTCCCCTGTGAAGGGACTGGGAACTGAAAGCATTATGCAGCTCTTGGAGGTGTATTTCAGAAAGCACGCGTCAATTTTCCGACTCGGGCATCATTGCAAAGTGATTAAAAAGAAACAGAACTTATGCTTATGTTCAAAAGACATCAGTAGCACAGTGCATCTGTGAATTCCTGTTCAAGTTCCACATGATTTTGGTTTCCCCAGCCCTGATCAGCTTGGCAGTGTGGTACAATTACACTCCAGTCTTCATGTCAAACTCGTGATGATTTTGTGTTTCATTAACAGTCAGGAATTCATCACATGCTGCTGTTCGGTCATTTGACTGTTCTTTATGAACCAAGTGCACCATTTCTTGTGATTTGCTGATATCTCCATTTAACTCTCTTGTCTTCCTGTCCTCCACTGCCCCTTTGCCATTGTTAATCACTAGCTTTTGCTTCTGCCCACATCTAGAAAGAAATAAAAATAAAATATTATAAATTGAGTCTAACAAAAATAATCAAAAACTGAAGGTCAATATTTAGTAAGAAGTGATTGGAAATTAAACTTGTGTCTGCCAGTGCAGACTTTTACTATACAAAGTGTAAAATTTCTCCATATTGCATATTTTATTTTTAAAAGCATACACTGTTATATGCATAAAATTTATCAGGAGCTCACTAACTTATTAAATTTATATTTAATGTTACTACATATAGCAATAACATTCATTACTGAATGCTAGAAATACACTTCTATCATTTGAACACATCCACATTTAGGAACTTTGTAAATACCCCCACTATGAGGACACCCTCCAAAGCCAGGCTTGGGACCACAGCTTTGAAAATGCACAAATTCTTAAACAAGCAGAAAATCTGGATCAAGCTCTCATTAAACATGACAACTGTTTTTTTTTTTTCTTTGTATTAGCATGTCAAGCTTAGAAGCCAACCAACAGTAATGAAATATGGGAACTACTCTTGCTGCTGTCTGCAGCAGAGCTCCTTGGGATGTCAGGTAGGAAATAGGTACCGTGCTTTTAAAGTTACATGTGCTGCAGGGCTGCCCAATAAACTTTAAATGTAGCTCTGAATTAAAACACAGCACACACTCAATCTTTTAAAGAGCCTCCAACCCAAAGCTGATGCACACTGGTTGTTGTGGGCTGGGCATCCTTCAGCATAGTAAAAGCAGAGCTACTTACACAGCTGTCAGATTGACTGATTAGATGATTCTCTGGCTACACAGTGCTAGACATCCTACGTGTCCTCAAATAGCCTTGTGTAAACTGAATATGCAGAGCCCAGCATGCCTAAGAGGGACAGTGTGCCTGTGAAATTGGACTTTTAAGTGCTTTCTTCTCAAATGAAGCATATTTTTTCCTGAATTACTAATTTGGCTGTTCAATTTTGCTGTTATGCTCCTGAAATACCTTTTTTCATGCCCACTGACTCATAGATAAGTGTTATTTTATCTGAAGTAGATCACTTCGCTCTGCTAATGTTACACACACCCTTGGGAATGATTTTCTGCTCTGCAGCCATAAAATGCCAAAAGACTCCAGCAAGGAGCTGTGGAGCTCCACAGCCTCTTAAAAGAGCAGCTCAGAGTGCTCTGCAACCAACAGGCTAGGAAAAAATGTGCTCGCTGCTCCCTGAACCAAAATCTCCACATATTATATGGTCACTCTGATAAAAAAAAAAAAAAGGAGTTAAAATCTAACATTCAAGTTGCAAATAGTTACTCTGTTAAAAAGCTCGGTTTTAACATTCAAGTAGCAAAAAGCTGTTGAAGACAATTGGGAAATAACCTCAGAACAGCCCCCAGGGAAAAGAAAGAGGTAAGAATATTATAGCCTATCCTTTAGGCTGGGGTTTTTCCCATCTCCCAGCTAACTTTCCACAGGTCACTGCATTACTTTTCACTCCTCAGCTTCCTCATCTGTAAAATGGAGCACAGAAAGCTCTTGAGAGCTCTGAGAGCAATGTCAGCATATATGTTTGTGACTGCCAGCTGCGATGCTGGCTCTCGTTCAGAAGGAACAGATGAACAGGAGAGAATGGCTGTGATTGTGTGAGCCAGCCCTTCACACTGCACACAGACAATGCTTTAATGGGGTGGGTTATTCCTGGCTCATCCTGTGGTTGTTACTGTCTATGTTCATCTCACAACTTCCCCTCTCTGTGAGCACGATTTTCCCATTAATAACTAATAGATAGAGGGTAATTAATTTTCTGTGATCTATATACAGGCTGAACTGTTCCTATAGCTGCTGGCTTCACGTGTGTGGTCCCAGGTGAGTGTGAAGGCTGACGTGTGACCTGAGCAGGACGTGGTGACCCGGGTCCCCACACTGCAAGTCACGGAGCTGTGCAGAGGATGCTCATCACTGCGGTTTGCCTCTCTGCTCTTGGACAAAGCTTTGGAGGCTCAAGGAAGGAAGAAGTAAGGCGGTGTGGTTTGGAAGTGGAAAGGCGTGTCCTTACCTCCTGCGACTGTTAACAGCAATGCACACTGCAAGGATCAGTGCGAGCACCACGAGAGCCACAACGATGATCAGCCAGTCTGGAGGGACAGACGAGGGAGGGGAAGAGAGCATGTCAGTGTACCTCAGGCGGTTTTGTCATTTCACAGAACTGCAAAAGCATCCTCTCTTCTGCTTCCTTCAAGCCGTCACACTCTTCTCCTAAACCTTGCTTGGTTTACAAAATCTTTCCATGCAAGTCAAACACCATTCAGCTCAGATTAAATTCCCCACCACTGCTGTCAGCTGTAAGCACTTTGGTGGGCACAGGTGAAGAGGAGATGTTTCACTGCTTCACTCCAATGGCAAAAGAAAAGCATGACACACCTACAAGCCCAGGCACAGAAGCAGGATGATTTTTAGCACATTTGCAGTAAAGCAGGTTCCACAACCTTCCTGCTCTCCACTACCATTATAGCTCTGCTGCCATTACAGGGGGGATCCTCTCCCAAGAGCTGTGTCCTGTGTCTTCTTTGTCTGAAACAACTGTCCCTTGTTTAAAAGACTCGAACATTTCATTTGAAACAAATTACTTCTTCTAATTAGTTAATTATTAGTACTCCATGGTGAAAAACTGACAGGCATTCTCTTCATAGCGTGCTCTTCTTGTAAATCCCTTCAGTTTTCCCTGCAAATAATGAGTTCTTTAAAAGGTGCTTCAAAGATTACCTTTCCATAATTTTCTGTGTGCTCTTCTCTATTTTTTTCCCATGTGACTAATGCAATGCCTTGAACTGAACAGAGTTTCAGCTCTGGACTTGCTAGGCCTAAGGATAATTACTTTCTTTGTTTCAAAAATTACTTTACAACTAATAAGTCCCAGAATATATATGCATTCTTTTGCAGCTGTATCATGGTGTTGACTTCTTTTTATTCTGTTTTAGTGTGCCAGCTCTATTCTGGAGAGTTTGTCTCAGCTGTTATTTTCACTGAGCAGTCTCATGGATATGATACTATGCATATAACTTTACTGAGTTTTGCCTTAATATTGCTGAAAAATTACATGAGTTACAACATGATCTGTTTTTCAGACTACTTGTGAAATGCTGAATATTACCTGATTCAGAACAAAGCCTGAACAACTGTATTTGACCTTCATTTTCATCTCTTACTTCAGTTCATATGAAGACAATTCTGTACTTGGATTTTTAAAACATTTGACTTCAAAAACCCACCTGGTACAGCGGCCGACCTTGGCTGTGAAGCTATTTTTGTTGTGGCTGTCTCTCCAGGGGAAGTAGTGGATTCATAATGTCCCTTGTGTGGTCCTTGGTCACCATATACACTAGAGCCTAAAGAACAAAAACCCCCATCCATTAGGCAAAAAATGCCTGATGAATATTTAACAGCAGCATACAAAGACTGTGACTTTAACAAGTAAAAACCATACTCTGGAGAGTCCATGCTGAAGCAATTAATGAGTGTTTCAATTCTATTCCCACACAGGATAAAACTGAACACCTACAACTCTAATGTTGTCATAAAACAGAGCAATAGTTCTCTGAATTCTTGTGACTTTGACAGCTATAGAGTGAGACTCTAAAAATTAAAAGTATTTTTTTCCTAATAGAAAAAAGTGTTCTCTGCAAACTTAGATGTGGATCCTCTTGTCCTTTTTAATAAGTTGTATAATTTGGTTTCAAGATGGTATTAGACCTTAAATCAGTTTCTTTTATTTTCTATGCTGGCCATGCTGCTTAGACTTTCATGCAACTACATTCCTGGCCCATGCTATTACCATAAGGGGATCCCAAGTCTAAAATTATCAGCAGACTATAGATAGAGTAATTTCATTATCACCACGAAAAAATATATTACAGATCTCCACCTCTCTGAATTCTTCCAGACTCTAAGAAATTAAACATTAATCAACTGTAAAGTTCTTTTTCTTTAACAGACATTACAACTAATTTCTGTCCAGCATTTCTGATCTCATTTCCTAGTAACAGCTGGCAAATGCAAAACTGAGAAGCATGTTTTATTCCCTCTGTGAAGCATAGCCAGCAGGCAACTCACGAATTTTCCAGATGTTTTTATTATTTTTTATTAACAACAAACTTATAGACTGGCTTGTTGTCTGGTGCTATCTTACAACAAAGGACAAATTCAAATGTGAAGAGTCTTGACCTAGTGCCAAAGAAAGCTGCCCAAGAGGGACCTACTAACTTGTCTCCACTACATCTCAGAAATTTTTCAAGGGCTTTATATCATCTTTGAAAAATGCCAGAGCTTCTCCTCCACAAAACCCCTTTGAAAGACATCCAGACATTTATTAAAATTTGTGTGCTTAGAAACCTGCCACATTTGCTGCTCCCCTGAGCACTGAGAAGAAGAAGCAGGGCTCAGCCAATTCCCAGCTGTTCTGCCTCTGGGGAGGTGCTTTGAGGTGCTCTCTGCATTTTATTTTGGTAACGTATTAGATTTTTTTTCTTTATGGACAGTTGTCTTTTGTAGTCCTTCAGTAGGTTGACTTGTTATTCTGTGGACACTTAGTGTGATGTCTGACCACAGCTTAAACATTGCTGTAGAAAAAAAAGTGAAAAGGGTGGTACAGTACATCAAACCATTCATTTGATCAGAGAGGGCCTTTAACAAAACATTCATGACTCTTTCCCATTCCATTTTGCCTATATTGGGCAACATTACAAATTAATGAACCCTTCAATAAATAATCTGTTTGATGACAATGGTAGTGTCTTAGTAATTCCCATAGAATGTGTTCTTAAAATGCACCAAGAAAAGATAAATGAAAAAAGGAAGAATTTCAGGAAAATGGCCTTCTGAGCCTTTTGTCAGGGTACTGACAATGCAAAGATTCAATGCAGATAATCCCACTGAAAAATATTTAAACCAGTTCTTACAGGTTTTATGGGCTCAGGACAGAAAGGTAGAAAACATTTTTTCATAGTGTGTAATGTCTACATATAAAATTAAGAAGGCAGCTTAGATTAAGTAAGTGAATAAGGCCTGTGAAATGAAAGAAATGAGTTTTAGTAGGAAGACATTATTAAAAACAGATTTAGCTCTCCAATAAAATTCTGACAAATACGTATATTGCATTTATATTGCTATGCCTATGTCAAAATACTATCACCAGGCAATTTTGTTAGAGTTGAATTTACTGGTTTAGACAAAATTCTTGAAAAAATAATTAGCCTAAGTTATACCTCACAATATATCAATTAATATTAATGAATTATTAAGGGAATTAGCTTTCAAGTGTTTTCTGTATTAAAAAATATATACATAATCTTGTTTATGTACAATGAATGTCCACAGAGCATTGGCCAGATTCTACTCTGGAATGGTTCCACTAACTTCCAAGAAAGTGCATGAAAACAGTGTTCAGATTAGCTGAATTGGGGAAAAACCCCTCACTGTTAGGGTGGCTATTTGTATGAAAACTACATCTGGGAATAAGGAAACGTCCCTTCATTTCCTGTATTATTAGCATGTGACAACACATAAGAAAGTGCCAAAGGCTGTATGTAGTATAAAAAGTAAACACTGTTAACTGCACTAACTTCATCAGAATAATAACCCTCTGAAAAACAAGGCTGTTCACAAATGAAATGTCAGTTACAGCCCAGTAACAGCTACAGTTATCACTGGAAAGATACCTACAGCACATATAGCTGGGGAAGAAATGGTGTCACAGAGGATTACCTTTATTTTGTACATATTCAGCTAATGTAGAGGGGTTACAGATGGGGGGAAAATGACAGATAGTTAAGAGTTACACAGCTGTCATTTATGCCCAGCAAAAAAAGATGCTATCACAAATGTATGGGCACGAGCAGAAAGTTTGCACTTCTTCATTTCAATAGTTGTGTTACCACTTGCTGATAACAGAATACAAGAAAAGCTTATTTGCAAAACACTATTTTCAGCCTTTTAGATAGTGCTTTTACCAGAAAGAGATACCATTCATGACATCTTATCAGCAGGTTAAGACCAATAACAAAACCCAAAAAGGAAATAACAATATGGCAACCATTTACAATTATGCTTAGTACACATTTTTGGACAATAGCCATTGTCCACAATAACAACCTACTGACGGATAAATGAAAATGGTTATAATTCATTGTTCTTACTGGTAGTAAAAGGATCCTGCAAGGGAACAAAACGGTCCTCAATGTCTGAAAAATCTCCAGGCATCCCATGGACATGGAAACCCTCAGTGGTGGTTGCTGGTTCACCTTCCCTTCCAGGTGCAGTGCCAGGTGCCAGTGGCTCCTTGGTTGCTTTCTCTTGCTCAGCATCACCCACGGCCTCTACGACTGTCGTGATGGTGGCATGATCAGGGAGCACTCACAAAAACCACCACCCACATCACTTCCAGGGCCACAGCAAGCCAGAAAGCACCTGCACCTTCCTCATGCAAAGCACAGAAGGAGGAGAGGAGATATGAAGGCTTCTCCTTCCACGCTGTCACTGGCTGCTGAGAGACCCTCAAGCTCCAGGTCAAGGTTCAGCATGTTGGAACAAGATGCAGATCCCAGTGACAGGTGGAAAGGGGAGATGCAGATCCCAGTGACAGGTGGAAAGGGGAGATCTTCAGAAGAAGAGACTTCAGCAGCAACAACCTGACCCTGTAACTCAGGAGCGAGCGGCCCCACCTCTGTCGGTCTTGCCTGGCAATGCACAGGGGCAGAGAAGTAAGAAACTGATGGCAGAATCTAAGGGATGTAATTCTTCTATGAAAGAATAGAATTCTTCTATGCCCTGCCCTCACTGCTGGGACACCACTCCCCAGTGATGGTGCTGCTGCTGAGTCACAGGACCAGGTGCCAGAGCACCTCCACCACGCCAGTCACGGTGCCAAAGCATTTCCAGCCTGGTCCCGCTGAGGCACGAGAAAGGAAAGTGAAGAGAGGCTGGGGATTCAGAATCACCAAAGTGCACGTCTCGCAGAACATTTAGGAGATGACCCAAAAACATGCTTCAGCAAGGATAGAAACCACCAAGTGCAGCAGCAAGGAGTCCCTTATGCCTCGTCCACAGATCCTTCGACAGATTTTTCACTGCAAGTCCACATTAAGAATGAAGATCCCCAGGATGAGAAAGATAGTGAAAGGAATCATCTTCAGCAGAAATAATGTCTCATTTCACACCAGACATGAGAAATGAGTATGGTCCATTATTCTTACTAGTACCCATCAGAAGAGAGCCATTACCAGTTTGGGTCACACTGGCTGTGGTCCTGTGGAGGACTCCATCTCTGGGAATATCCATGGGACTCGTGTTGCCTTCAGTGCCCTGTCCTGGCTCATCATCCGAAGGCAGAGGAGTTTGGGTTGGCTCTTGGTGGTGGGCACCATCAGGAGAGGAAGCAGCTGTTACCACAAGGTGAGGTGCCCACGTTTCCTGGGTTATACCTTCTGGTGCCAGGATGTCAGTGGAGGCTGTGACTGTCGTGATGATGGCTAAGTTAACTTCAAACACGTTTTAAAAATGCACCTTACATATTTACTCCCTCTGTATTTTAGTCATCACCACCTCTTTTATTTATTAGACTATGTAGAATAAGCAGTGAGAAGGAAAAAAAGCCCAAAACAAAGCCACAAGCAAAGAATATCCTCTGCATATGACACACTGTTTTTGGATTGTCTCTTCCTTCATTAATATTCACAATGCAGCCTAAAATATTGGTTTTGAAAATACCTAGTGAACACTGTTCAGAAGCAAGAAAACAGCAATATTATTTTCAGAATGACTATAAGAATTCCTGTTGTTAACACGGGAATTAGATTAAAATTACTTAATTTAAACATTTTAAAAAATTGCAAAATCATACTTGGGTTTTCATATTTGCAACTGACCAGTCAAAGCTCATAAAGCTTGAAAAACTGGGGAACTTTCCAGAATCTCATTCATATTTAGAAAACATGAGTAGATGATAGAGAACACAAGTATATTTTAACCCACAAACTATTTATAATCCACAATTTGTAGTTTTCATAGCTCTCTATCAAATCCTGAATGTTGAGCATTAAATAATCCAGATAAAAATGGATTTTGAGGAAGAAAAGCAAAAGGATAACTGCTAATTTTCCTTTAGAATTTCTCTTTTAGAAAATGCAGGAAGAAAAAATGCAAGAAGTTCCAAACTACAATGTGATTTAAAAAACGCCTTATTATATTAAATAAAAAAGCAGTATTTTGAATGAGCATAATTTTAAATGGATAACATACAGCATTTGGGAATTTAAGTTAGAACCTTGCAGAACTGCACGAACAAACTCCAATAAATTATTTCAAATTTTACAATATTAAGAGAATATGTTGAAATAGTAAGACCAGGAATGACCAGACATGAAAAACCAACATTTACACTACCAGCCACCTCCAAAAAGCAACTGCTTCCTCAGTTGAAAACACACCTGAGCAAAGTCAGGGGACATAAGAAACAGGACACACAGGAAAAAAAAATCTTTAAACAGACAGGAATTCTTGTTGGGATATTCACATGCAACAAAACCATAAAAACATTTGCACTGCAATTCCCCAACAAGAATGCACTCTTTAAAGATAAGAAAGACAGGGAAAGAATTCAGTTTCAGAAGAAATAATGTCTCATTTCACACCAGACATGAGAAATGAGTACAATCCATTATTTTTACTGGTACCCATGGGAGGAGAGTCATTACCAGCTTTGATCACAGTGGCTGTGGTCCTGTGCAGAGCTTCATCCTCGGGGACATCTGTGGGATTGATGATGCCTTCGCTGCTCATTTCTGATTCATCATCCCACAACACTATCCCAGCTTCAGTGGGCTCCTCATGGTGGGCACCATCAGGAGAGGCAACAGCTGTTATGATGGTTTAATGACAGGTGATTTAAACACAGATTATTCAATAGCTGTGAATTCCATGTGTGGGCTGCTTCGGCCTTCCCATTACCATCCATCCCATCCACGCCTCCTGTTCCCCTGGAAGCACTGTTACCCTTTTCTCGCCACAAAAAGGGCAGAGAGATGAGACCCTGCGTCCTGAAATCATCACTGCTCTCTCACACTTTTGGCAAGACGTATCCACTTGCTATTCTCGTCCACTTTTTCACTTAATTAAAACGATTCCCGAGGGCAGTGGACACAGGGAGAGGCACGGAGGCAGCAGTCAGAAGGATTCCCTGACCTGCATCCTGGACTGCCCACAGAGCTCCCTCGGCACTGTCACTTGCTGTCACGGTGTGTTTCACACTCCAGGCACCAACACTGACAGCCAGGAAGACATGAAGGCCTCTGCTTCTTCCTCCACACTGCCACTGGCTCCTGAGAGACCCTTAAGCTCCACATTTAAGCTCAGCACGTTGGAGCGAGATGCTGGCGACATACACGGATTCCAGTGGCAGATGGAGAGGGGAGAGCTCCAGAAGAGGAGAGCACACCTTGTCCTTAGAGCATTATTTGGATGTTATGAATACTGCATTATATGAGAAGGCACCATGATGCCGTGTCATGGCAGTTTTATAGGTTCCTGCCTCTCATCATTCTATGAATGAACCAGAGGGATAAATATTTCAATGAAGTCTATGAAAAGAACCCTCTTTTGCCCGGTGAATACTCACGAGCTAAATAGATTAAATTAACCTCTTGAGGTACAAATACACATAAGTATGGATTTGACTTTATGATAAAGACAGTCTGGAAGCAGCAAATAATAGAACTTATGTAATGAGCTGGATGCAATTTCACAGCCATGCTTCACTAAGGAACGAAAAACCTTATAAGTGGTGTGGCAAGTAAAGAACAACTGTTTTTATATGGAGCTAAAATTGAAATCTTCTGTTTCACTACCATCCAGACAGAGAAGAGAGAAAAATAATCACTCTACAGTTTATGCCATTATTTTAAGAGATCAGTTATTACTCCTGTCTACAAGTTCATGCAGCATCTTTCCAGGTAGAGGCCATCTGCGAGACAGAAGTGATGCAACATACAACACAGAGATTATTACTAGTACCTGTAGTGGAAGAGTCTGTTTCAAGGTTGCTGTCTCTGGAAGGAATAACTCTATCCGTTCCAGCAGGCTGTGTGGCATGCTCCTCTCCCTGCTCCCAGCCTGGATACACCAGTGGCTCGTGCTCTGAGTCGTTCTCTTTGGTCCCCTGGCTGGGGACCACAGCTGTTATGGTGATGGTGAAGCAATTATGAACTCAGTATACAAAGATCCATTTCCCACACTATTCTCCTCTTCAGTTCTTGTCTCTATGACAGGCCTTGCTCACATGTCTACTACATTTAATGGCAAAGAGAAGTAAAGTAGATTTGCTTCTCGACCTGGTTCATAGTTAGAAAAGCTGCCTACTGTCATCAGTAGGACCAACTCCTTCCTCAAACTGGTGCTTTTCAGAATCAAGTGTCTTACTGGGGTTTTTTTTACTGAATCTTGCTGCTGACTTTGTATTGTTGAATATCGAACCAAAATTCACTGATGCAGAATTAAAAACCTCAAGGACAAATAACTGCAAGGATATGACCCATCAGTAAGATTTTAATCACATAATTCCAGCGTATTGACTATATCCAGTTTTTTCCCCTCAAAATTTCACTGTTTCATTAGTTGCAGCATCTCCAGGAAAACAGATAAGGAAGTGTGACAAAGGGGAATGCTAGGTCATGCTACAGGTTTGTGAATGGTGCACACAATGACTAAGACAGCATTCAGCTGGAGAATATTTGACATTGTAGTTATTTAGAAAAACACTGTCCATATCAATCAACCTGCAGTTTTTATTAGACAACCATAGCAAAAGAGTACCCAAATGTTGTAAAAAGCATAAACCTTCTTAACCCCTTCAACTCAATAACGGAATAAAAGAAAAAGCAAGAAATTTGCCACAGTGTGTTACAATTTTAATTGCAATTAGGCCATTATGTGTTGTTGTAGTAGCATAGTATAGCAGATTATCAGAGACCTGTATTTGATAACACACAAGAGCAGAGGATGACTGTGGTGAATTCACTGTTGCAGTGCTTAGCACAGCAATCTGTCATTAACTTATAAGTTTGGTATGCTCACAGGAACAGAAATTAAAATATATCAATTTGCAGTAACCACCTTTACAATACAATTTGATGGTTTATGTTTCAATTGATTCAACCAACGAAAGAGAGAAGCTGCTGTCTTATTCTACATTATGCTTTGTTTTCTTCCCTTCATCACCAGTATCATCTTGCCATAGTTCAAAAGTGGGATGAGTAGATATTTTAGATAATTTTTTAAATATACAACTGCCATTAACAAAAACTGGAAAAAAAAATCCCAGGCTCATTAATGGCTTGCAACAGGGAGTGAATATAGTTCCCAGAAGACTGGAAAATGCAGCACACATTATTATTTTTCCATTTAAACCTTCTCTGTTTCCTACAAAATCCTGGTAGATAGCTTGTTGAAAGCTTGTGACAGCATGACACTCAATACAAAATGTAGGAGACAGTTACAGAATTAACCTACTAAAGGTCTTGACATGCAAGACAAATAGAAGAGAAACATCCTGGAACAAGCCTGAAGAATAGACTAATTAAAAAAAAAATATATAACATCAAAATTGCTCAGGTTTATTCACAGAACCTGCCTTATGGCCTCAGAATGCAAAAATGTTAGAAAAAAATCCTAAAATTAATCTTTAGAAAACCCTGAAAATTTACTAAAATGTGACCTGTAATATTACCTGTAGAAGTTTCCTTCCCAAAATAATTTTCAGCTGCAGTAGAAAATTCATGTTGTTCAATACTGTCAGTGGTACTTGCAGGATTTTGTTCTTGACTGATCCCTCCAGAATGAACGCTGTGTAATAGTGGATGTTGGGTTGGTTCTTGATGTTTTTCATTTTCACTTGCAACTAGTGCTGGTAAGATGATGATTGAATCAATAATGATCAAAATACCCAACATCAGTCACATCATCCTGATCATCATGGTCTACATAACAAGGCTTTTGTGATTTGGCTTTTTCTTGTTGTTGTTGCATTTCATGTGAAATGAAAGATGAAAGAAAACAAAAGTCCTTTGGAAACCTTATCGCACAAAAGCACCACCAGGAGCAGCAGAAGATTTAAGTGCCCTAGAAAGGATCCCAATGACCAGTGGAAGATAAAAAGAAGATGCCCGAGAAGGAGAAGAGCTCACAGAAACAACAGCTTGCATCTCTAGCTCATATTTATTAAAACAACTTAATTCTTGAGTTTGTGCACTCTGGGATTTTAAAGTAAAACACTGATGAACTTTTCGAGTTATCTCAATTGCAGTTACAAAGCTGGGCCTAAGGAAATTGTAATTTCTTCTGAGATTGAATGAATTAAACAAGTAGGTTCATATAAGTAGATAAGCATACTTATTTTGAATTCAATAATAATTAAAGCTCTTTCCAATGAAACTAATTCATTGCTTACTCTTTAACTTGCTGTTGTTTACACAGCAGAAGATGCAATCAGAAATCAGCTGAAGTACCACCACCTTAAGAGCTGTTCTAACAAAGGCTGGGAAAAGATGCATTGATAAACCTAAGATGAGCATAAGAACTCAGCTGGAAATATATTTGCCTTAAGTATCAAACATTTCCATGAGTGGTATATAAGAGTAAAGCCAAAGTCCTCAATCAGAGCATGCAAAGAGTGAGCTGGATGTGTTACATAAGTCACAAGCCACCAGACAGAGAAACAATGCTATTTCCCAAGAAGATAAAAACTGGAGGAATATTCATCTTCACATTCAGGCAATGGAATACTCATAAAGAGAGCACTCATGCAAATGCAATTAATTACTTTTAAATGAAATGTAATACATATATATTGTCTTACAAAAGAAGAGGTAATATTAATCAATGTATGAATACAACTGATTTAGCAATACTTTACCACTAAAAGAAAGTTATCACAAAAACAATTTCTGTGTGATTACAGAATCTGTTCTAATGCCAACTGTATAAACTCTGCTGTTCAAAACAATCTCAGAACCAGAAAGACACAGAAAAATATCTTGAGAAAGGACTCTATAAGCTTTTTCCTACAGAAGATTTTAGAATTGAATGTTTTGGTATCTCAGTTGGCCATTGGCACTAACCCTGGTAGCAAAATGTTCACATTCATCTGGAGGTAGTATTTTATCCTTTGTAGGGCAATTTAGGTATTTGAAACATTAGATGCCTGTTTTGTATTTTGCCTTCAGATTTTACAACAGAAATTTTGAAGTGGAAAAGGGAAATTTTTTTCTCACCCAGATGGGTGACTGAAAGTCTGCTCAGTTTTATTGCACACTGCTGTCACTGCAAATTTTAAAATACTAGAGATATGAGGAAAAGTGGCAAGAAATGAACTTTAGATGCATAAGACAGACTTGGAGTGACAGATGAATGTTACAGATGCCACCTCTGAGGGCTCTAGTACAAATAATGTAAAGGCTAATGATATGGGAATTACAAACAGCCACACCCTGAGTGTCTTACTTCACTGAATTATATCAGAAATCTGAGAATTATCTGAAATGCTTGATTGCTTTACCCCTTGTAGCAGAGCTAGGATACTGCTCCTCTTCATCTGTGAAGGTGGGGCTCCAATGCTCCTGTGTGGTGATTTCCAGAAGTGTTTCGTGGTGTGAGTCCACAGCTGTTGGGACAACGGAGGATTCAATGCTCTAAATCCACTGTCTGTGTGTGCCATAAGGGTGATGGGAAGGGAAATGGAAGTTCTTGCATAGCCTAGCTACAGCCTCTTCACTCTTCTTATCAAATCCCTTCATATCAAACCAGTTGTTCTTTTCTTTGCATTCGGCAGATGCAAAGTTTCCCAAGAAAAATGGGAAAAACAAGCAGCAGAAGGATAATGTACAGTAGAGGCAATGCAAAACCATCAGAGCAGTTGTAGAAATTGAAACTCATGTTTTAGGAATAATGCTGGACCTAAGGAATATGGCATATATCCCAGTACACATGCTTGCTGAGTACTCAAGAAGTACTCAAGAAGTGCCATGTTAGAATACCCTCGACTGAGCAAAAAAGCAACAGTCAGCAAAAAAATGAGAGCACCTGGACAACCACCAGGAAGCCAGTATTAGACAAGAAAGTTATAATGCAATTAAAAAGATAAAACAGAGAGTCTATGACCAGAGACTGAATACACTTTCACCCACGGATCATGCAGATACCACTAGACCATCAAAGGTATGGAATGCATACCATGATGGGACAAGTTACCAATGCAGAGTCTCAAAGATAAACAAACACCAAAACTATCCAAAGCATAGGAAGAAAAATTAGGAGTCCCAAAGCAAGATGAATTCCTGATTTTGCATTTTCTACTAAAAATGGAAACCACTGCTGAAAAAACACAAAGACCGCGCTATCTTCAGAAAAGTAAAAGGCTTATGAACAGTGACTGCTGAGTAAATAAAAGCACAGACAACAGACACATTAGGATTAAAATAAATAAAATTTCAGAAAGAGAACAGATCAATATATTTGTTCAAATTAGAGCATAGTAATGAACAGCAACATCTATGCTAATAAAACCCCAGGGCTGGAGCCATTCCATGATCATAAAGCCAAGCAGCAGTTTGGGTACTTCAGGGACACACTGCATTTAGCTTTGGCCTACATATGTGGTCTTTTTCTGGTTTTCAGACAAAATTATTTCATCTATGGATGGCTTTTGAACTAAAAAAGACTTGTCAGATGATCACTGTGGGGCTATTCATATCAGGAAAGTAAGGCTATGTAGTAAAATATCTCAATTGTAATATTGGATGATGCCTATACATCTGAGGTCACAAAACAAACGAGATGATGTCAGAGGACTGCAAGGGAAGTGTGCAGAAGGTAGCAAATATGAGACTGTTTTGTTGACAGCTCCCAATGAAAAATGGACTTGGGATTTGGCCTTTACAAATAGTACCTCAGCATCTTCCACAAACAGGAATTTTGCTATTGAATAGCTGTCGGTTATATATAACACGAACTAGAATTATTTTAATACGTAAAATAAATTACTAGAATGAAAGATAAACTTTTTTGTCTTGGAAAATCATGAGTAAATGTAAACATTTGAATAAACATGAAACTGAGAAGCTAATTATAAGTAGGGAAAAAAAGACACATTATTTTAATCATAGGGACCTGAGATAATTCTACAGTCGTGAAAGAGGTATTTCTGAAGGGAAGAACTGATGAGAATATCATCTGATTTTCAAACAATATATGTGTATCTAAGGAGGAGGAATGCCCTGTAGGACAGGAAAAAGAACAAACCATCACCGAGGACAAGAGAAGTTCCTTACTCGTACTCAGAGCAGTCTCGTCCTTGGCCACACTCCTGCCCCAGCCTGGAAACACTGTGGGGTACAGCATCTCCTCAGAAGAGTCTTCATCATCTGAATCACTGCCACTGGAGGTCACATCTGCTGTGATGATGTGAAATCTGCCATGAAGCCCTAACCCACAAGGCCTTCACCTGGCAGCACTCCACCGCGCCCACCCCCACAACCACAAACCAGAAAGTAAAACACCAGAATTCACAGCCCCCGGAGCCCCACCGGCCACAGCCACTCCCAACCCGCTCACCCCCAAGCCACGCACCCCCCGGACATGCCCCACCAGGACCCGCACAAACAGGGCGCGAACACACACATGGCCACACCACGAACCACCACAGCACCAACCATACCAGGTACACCACAACAAACTAGAGCAGAAAACACTCCCTTCGAAACCCTCCAAGTCCCTCTCATCCAAACACTCCGCACCGAAACAGCCTGCAAACAAAAACAAGGAAAAAACCAACAACAAAAGAGCCAGAAACACGCCCACAATAATCACTGCCAGACACACACAATGCAGACAGGCAAAATGGACACAGGGCACACCGACACTATGGACACCACCTCGACACCCAACAAGACAAAACCCAAGAAGACACAGCCCAGGACTCAGCGCAACCCAAACCAGTGAAAAACACAACACAGACAAACCCCACACAACCAACACCTGCTCCACCTACAGCCCGGGGATCTGCTACCCCAGCCCCTAATAAAACAACCCCCAAACAAAGCAACCCCTGACCATGGCATGCTGGACCCGCGGATGCCGGCGTCGCTCCAGGAGTCGACCACCAACAACGCGACCACAACAAACGCCACCAAAACAGAGTCCACCAAGCCGCCAGGGTGGCAGGCTCAAGCCCGGCAGCGGCAAGCACAGGACCGGTTAAAACAGGACCGGGTGAACAAGGATCGAGAAACAACTTCTCCACAAGCAAAGTCAACTCCAACAAACACAAGCCCCACCAGCACCAGCACCCCCAGAAAGCGAAGGCACAGAAAGGCAAATGAAAGAACCCAGAATGTAAGAACACACCGCCAAAACACAGCCCGACAAAACAAACCTGGACACAACCACCAAAGACA